CCTTAATCATTTTTCTTCCCCTTCTCTGTGCTTTTTCCAATTCTAAATATATCTTCTTTGAGATGGGGTGACCAGAACTGCACCTGGTATTAATCGTATGGGTGTACCATGGGTTTATGTAGTGGCATTATGATATTTTCTGTCTTCTTATCTATCCCTTTCCTAATGATTCCTAACACAGTTAGCATTTTTGACTGCCGCTGCCCATTGAGCAGATGTTTTCAGAGAACTATCCACAATGACTCCAAGATCTTTCTTGAGTTATAACAGCTAATTTAGACGGCATCAATTTATGGGTGTGTAGTTGGGATTATGTTTTCCAAAGTGCATTATTTTGCAGTTATCTATATTGAATTTCATCTTCCATTTTCTTTCCCACTCATCCAGTTTTCTGAGATCCCTTGGTCATGGACTTAGCTATTTTGAGTAATTTTGTATCACCTGCAAACTTCACCACCTCACCGTTTACCCCTTTCTCGAGATCATTTATGAATATATTAAACAGCACTGGTCCCAGTAAAGATCCTTGGGGGACCACCTACTTATCTCTCTCCACTGTGAAAAACATTTATTCCTACCCTTTGTTTCCTGTCTTTTAACCAATTAGTGATTGATGAGAGTATCTTCCCTCGTATGCTGTGAGTCTTCCCTTTGCTTAAGAGCTTTTGGTGAGGAACCTTGTCTTTCTGAAAGTCCAAATACACTGTATGACTGGTCTACCCTTGTCTACATGCTTGTTGACCTCCTCAAAGAATTCTAATAGGTTGGTAAGGCATGATTTCTCTTTACAAAAGCTGTGTTGACTCTTTCCCAACATATTGTGTTCATCTATGTCAGATAATTTTGTTCTCTACTATAGTTTCAACCAATTTGCCTGATGCTGAAGTTAGGCTTACTGGCCTGTAATTGACAGGATTGCCTCTGGATCCTTTTTAAAAAAATTGGTGTTACATTAACTCTCCTGGAATCATCTGGTTCAGAAGCTCATTTAAGTGATAGGTTACACAGCACAGTTACTAGTTCTGCAATTTCATATTTGAGTTCCTTCAGAACTCTTGGGTGAATACCATCTGGTCCTGGTGACTTATTACTGTTTAATTTATCAATTTGTTCCAAAGTCTCCTCTGTTGAGACCTCAATCTGGGACAGTTACTCAGATTTGTCACCTAAAATGAATGGCTCAGGTGTGGGAATCTCCCTCACATTCTCTGCAGGGAAAACCGATGCAAAGAATGTGTTTAGCTTTTCCACAATAGCCTTGTCTTCCTTGAGTGTTCCTTTAGCACCTCAGTCGTTCAGTGGCCCCACTGATTGTCTGGCAGGCTTCCTGCTACTGATGTACTTAAAATTTTTTTGCTTTTTAAAGTTGCTCTTCAAATTCTTTTTTGGCCTGCCCAATTATACTTTTACATTTGACTTCCGAGAGCGTATGTTCCTTTCTATTCCTCCGTAGGATCTGACTTCCTATTTTTAAAGGATATCTTTCTGCCTCTAACCACCTCTTTTGTTTTGCCGTGGTAGCAAGCCTCACACTCACTGTTTTTAATTTAGGGCATACATATCATTTAAGCCCCTATAATAGTGTTTTTAAAAGTTTCCATGTAGCTTGCAGGCATTTCACTCTTGTGACAGTTCCTTTTATTTTCCGTTTAGCTAGCATCAGTTCTGTGTAGTTCCCTTTTTTGAAGCTAACTGGTACTGTGGTGGGTTTCTTTTGTATTTTCTCCCCTACTCGGATGTTAAATTTAATCACATTGTACTTACTATTACCGAGTGGTTCAGCTGTATTCACCTCTTGGACCAGATCCTGTGTGCCAGGTTCATATCTGGCAGTATCATTAGTGCCCACATGGATGAGGAATATTGGCTAGTGGTCAGAGGATGCATGCCTTGGTAAACTTTCTTTAATATCTGGGAGGTGGGCCTCAGACAGGCAACACACCTCCTGGGACATGATGCCTACACCCCCCCTCAGAAAGGAGTCACCAACAACCACCTTCCTACATCCTCTCTTCTTTCCTGCCCCACAGCTCCTGGGCTCCCAGTGAGCTGGCCCGCCTCCACTCTGTGTTCCCCACAGGGAGCAGAGGAAGCCGCTTGGGGCTTCTCAGCTGCCCCCTCCCCCTTCTCCTGTCCTGAAATTGACAAGAGAGCGGGAGGAAGGCTGTAGTGTAGACACTGACATAATTAGGTCAAAATAAGCTGCCTTACTAACTGTGTAGTGTAGACCAGCCCTCAGACATCTCTAATCACTGGTTTATTTATTAAAAAAATTGCACTGCTCTCTCTTCAAAGAGCCCTGCTAGAATTAGTTGCTAATTCACCCAACTGCAGGGCACCTTAGCCCAGACAGTCAGCAGCCAAGCCTAGATATCAAACACAGCAAATGAGTAAACCAGCCCAGTCCTACCAAACTTGATGGCAAGTTCCCAGCACAGAAAAGTGCTTCACAGTTAATCAAGACAGAAATACCTCAGAGAGCCTCCCAAGCTGGCAACTCCCTTAGCCTTCCAGCTGCCTTCATCTCACCTACACCTCTAGAAGAGAGAACAGTAAATGTTGATACCCTATTTTATAGACTGATGCATTGAGATAAAGAAAATATAAGTCACTTGCCCAATGCCACACCACAAGTCAGTGGCAGAACTGTGTTAAGATTTCAGGAGTTCCTGGTTTCTTGCCCATATTCAGTTCATTAGACAAAACTGCTGCATTTCTTTAGAATCATAATTCGAGCCATGTGAAAGTGTTGAAAGTGTTTTTGTGAATTTTGATTCAGAATGCTCCCTTTTTCATTTTCAGGTGATTCCATACCATTGTAATTTGCTTTTCTGCTAAAAATGGGAACAGTGGTTATTATTCACTGCAAAGCACGCAAAAATCTGTAAGGGCAAATTGTTAAGCAGAAGTGAGGTACTGGGCATCTTGATGTTTTTCTTGTGTGTGATATTGAAGGTTAGAGAGTGTCAGAAACAGACAGACAGACTGTGTTTAATATGCTTCCCGAAACTTAACTCAGTATGGGCTCTTGCACATAGTGCTTCAACCATTAGTGGACACCTTCAGTATGAGGTGCTGTATTAGCCACACAGCTCAGCAAACGTGAGAGTCCAGTAAATTGAGTCCCATCATTGTTGCCAATTTGCCATTAAGGAAGAGGGATGTGGGATGTATATGAATTTAGACTGGAAGAGAGAACAAGAAATAAGCCTCATACAGCAACAAACACTAGAGGCAAGAACAAAAGAATGCGATTTTAGATGAGAAGGTATATGACCCATCCTACACAAAGACATCATAAGTGGTACTAGAAAAGCTGGCCTGTTCCCCACTGGGATCCCATAGTGTTCCCAGAACATTACTGATTCTTATGAGGTCAGCATACAGACACTCACGAATGATAATATTGATGTATATAGAGTCAAGCAGAAGGGTTAGACAGAACATCTGGCCTTGTCTCTAACTAGAATCCCTTGTATTTGGTGTAACCACAAGTACTGTATCTGACCTGTACACCCATCAAAAGCCTTACACTGAGTATCTGCCATGTTTGGGGGAGGGGTGTGCTCTCTATCGATTTTAGAGGAATTTATGGCTTCCGTTACCATACTATCTGAGCACCTCACAATATTTAAGATATTTATCCTCCCAGCACGCCTATGAAGCTGGGAAGTGCTGTTATCCCCATTTTACAGAGGAGGTACTGAGGCGCAGAGAGATTAAGTGACTTACCCAAGGTCCCACAGGAAGTTTGTAGCAGAAGAGGGACTTGAACTCAGTCTCCTAAATCCCAGGCTAGCATCCACTGGGCCACCCTTCCTCACTACTTCTTCCTTTCTTGTTTCTCTCTCTTTTCCCCTTTCCCTAACTGGGTATTTTTCCTCCTGGGTAGCCACCCTGAAAATACAGAGAAGACAATCATGTTTGCCTCATATTCTTGCTGACTGGGGAATGTAGAACTACAAACTGCTCTTTGTCCAAGCTTGTTTCCAACAGACTTCACTGACACTGTTGGAGGGAGGGGGGAGGGGAGAGAACAGCATTGTTTGAAAACAGATTATTCACCGATAATCTTTAATTCCAAGTGAATCTTAACCTGATCATTGCCTTTAGTGTTCCTCTTGGCTCAGAATGACAAGTCATCCCAATCTGGTTCATTTCTTGATGGTCCTTTCTTTATTAAATGCACCTGCATTGAAAAATGGCCATCCTGCTTGTAAAATATATTAATTACCTTACTGGAGTAATTGTGTGTGCTTCCTGTGGTGAGAATTGGCAGCAGTTGAAAAAAATTGTACTGTGACTGGCGGGAACTGGAGCTGAAATAAAGATAGGGAGCATGTGTGGCAACAGCTGGAGATAAGACGCATTCCTCGGAAACAAGGGAAATAGAAGCAATATAGTAGAAGCAGTCACAGCACTTAACTGAGTCAGTAGTGGCAGAAAGAAAGCTTTGTTAAAAACATGGACATAACTTTTAAATAGAAAAACAACCTTCAGTGCATCAAATGTACAAAGGGGTAGAAACCGTTCAGAGCTGAGATTTTCACCTAAGTAAATACTCTTCAGTATGCTGTGTGGTAGCTTTGTGATTAAGGCAACAGAACTAGAAAAGTGCTTGAGAACATCAAGTTGGATTATTCCAGATCTTCCTTAGTTAAGTGGAGTGATTCTTTAATTTTACAGGTAAATAAAGACATGGGCTTTATAATCATTCACTGCACCTTTAATGGGAGTTATAAAAAAAAAAAACTACTTATACATAGTGTAATATTGGGAGAACTTCAAAAGTCGTAGGCAGGTTTCTCAGTTTCAGTAAGCTTCCAAAAGTTCTCCATGTTTATTAAAGTATCTGAGTTTCTTTGGACAAGCAATGGATTACGAAATCTCATGAAACAGATATTCTTATGTGGCTTTCAGTACTTCCTGCTTCCAGCTAGGTTGGATGTACTATGATAATTATTTTTCTAATGGTATTATGTTTTTATTTCAACTTACAGGTCCAAGTGGAGATGCCTGTGGAGTAAGGAAGATCTCAGAAAACTGTCATGCTCAGAGTTTTCACAAGAGTTTGAGAGTCAGCTGTCCCGAACGTGAGACCAGATTTCCAGCCTGCATCAACCCTTCTCTTATTTTTTCTCACTCTGGTGCATGCACTCTTTTGTGCAAAAGTACATTTGTCTAGACCATTTTGTTAATTTACCCTTGCAAATGGGCATTTTTGGTTCAAATATGCTAATCTGGAGATTAAGGAAACTACCGTGCAGTCAGAGAGGGGGACTGAATAATCTAACAATTTTTTTCCATGTTCTAATTTCTATAATTCAATATATATGCAAAATTAGAGGCCACTTTTTTGAAAAATTGGCCCTTTGTATGCACCATTGCAGTTAGTTTGGCAGTTTTGAACTGGAGTCATCAGCCATATCTTGAAAGGATAAATGCGATCTCCTGCAGCATAAGATGTTTGCAATAGGGCTGTCAAGCAATTAAAAAAATTAATTGCAATTAATCACACTGTTAATAATAGAATGCCATTTATTTAAATATTTTTGGATGTTTTCTACATTTTCAAATATATTTATTTCAGTTACAACACAACGAGTACAGTGCTCACTCTATATTTATTTTTAATTACAAATATTTGTGCTGTAAAAAAACAAAAAAAGTATTTTTAATTCACTTCATACAAGTACTGTAATGCAATCTATTTATCTTACAAATGTAGAATTATGTACAAAAAACTGCATTCAAATATAAAACAATGTAAACTTTAGAGCCTACAAGTCCACTCAGTCCTACTTATTGTTCAGCCAGTCACTCTGACAAACAAGTTTGTTTACATTCGCGGGAGATAATGCTGCCCGCATCTAGTTTACAATGTCACCTGAAAGTGAGAACAGGTGTTCACATGGCATTGTTGTAGTTGGCGTAGCAAGATATTTACATGCCAGATTTGCTAAAGATTCATATGTCCCTTCATACTTCAACCATCATTCCAGAGGACATGTGTCCATGCTGATGACAGGTTCTGCTTGATAACGATCCAAAGCAGTGCAGACCGTTCACTTTAATCATCTGAGTCAGATGCCACCAGCAGAAGGTTGATTTTCTTTTATGGTGGTTCAGTTCTGTCGTTTCCGCATTGGAGTGTTGCTCTTTAAAGACTTCCGAAAGCATGCTCCACACCTCATCCCTCTCAGATTTTGGAAGGCACTTCAGATTCTTAAACCTTGGATTGAGTGCTGCAGCTATCTTTAGAAATCTCACATTGGTACCTTCTCTGCATTTTGTCAAATCTGCAGTGTAACTGTTCTTAAAACGAACAACATGTGCTGGGTCATCATCTGAGACTGCTATAACATGAAATATATGGCAGAATGCACATAAAACAGAGCAGGAGATATACTATTCTCCCCCTAAGGAGCTCAGTCAAATTTAATTAACCCATTATTATTTTAATGAGTGTCATCAGCATGGAAGCATGTCCTCTTGAATGCTGGCTGAAGCATGAAGTGGCATACAAATGTTTAGCATATTTGGCATATAAATACCTTGCAATATCAGCTGCAAAGGTGCCATGAGAACACCTGTTCTCACTTTCAGGTGACATTGTAAATAAGAAACCAGCAGCATTATTTCCCGTAAATGTAAACAATCTTGTTTGTCTTAGCGATTGGCTGAACAAGAAGTAGGACTGAATGGACTTGTAGGCTCTAAAGTTTTTCATTTTTTTTTGAGTGCAGTTATGTAATAAAAAAAATTCTACATTGTAAGTTGTGCTTTAACAATAAAGAGATTGCATTACAGTAATTGTGTGAGGTGAATTGAAAAATACTATTTCTTTTATCATTTTTACAGTGCAAATATCTGTAATAAAAATAATATAAAATGAGCACTGTATACTTTGTATTCTGTGTTGAAATTGAAATCAATATATTTGAAAATGTAGAAAAACATCCAAAATATTTAATAAATGTCAATTGGTATTTATTGTTTAACAGTGCAATTGAAACTGCAATTAATCTTGATTAATTTTTTAATTGTGATTATTTTTTGAGTTAATCACATGAGTTAACTGCGATTAATCGACAGCCCTAGTTTGCAATGATTACTTTCCCCATCTGTGCCACAAATAAAGAATAACAATGCATATTTTTGAGCCTGACAATGTATTTGGCATCATGCGGTACACAAAAATACAATCCCAATCATCACTGGTAGTGATACACAAACACACACATGCACACGCTGGTTCCCCATGACTTCCTCACTACTGAATCTCTCCAATAGCCTCACAATTATGTCCTTGCTTACTTATGTGACCTAGTTTTCTTCTTTTCCATTTGCCCTGCTCTACCTACACCACTCCACCAATGATCACAATTACAGCTTTTTTCTGTTTCGTTCACAACCATTTCTATTCATTTTTGCACACCAATCTTTGCACATGAATTATCCTTCCAGACCTAGTGTGCAAAGCCACTACTCTCTTATTTAAATTCTCTACCTCTATCAGGTAGCCAACAAAAAGAGAATTCACAAAGTGATGTATTATGTCATTCTATTTGTATTCTTTTGTTATATATTAAAAGACAAAAGTACTCCTCCATGATGCTCACTTGTTTTTGCCAGGTATTGTTTTTGTTATAACATCTTTCTATCCCACAGTCCTATTTCTGTCACTCTGTTGCATCATCAGCAATGTCTATGGTCTTCTTCCTCTTCCTGCTCCTCCTCCTCCTCCACTCCCCAGTTTCGCCTGAAGTCTGAGCTTGAGTTTGGGAAAACTGGGAGCTACAGCAGTGCTGCTCATCCACAAACTGCTGTCAAGCAAACACCTATTTTGTTTTGGCTACTCTGTATCTGTCATAAATATAAAGGGAAGGGTAAACCCCTTTGAAATCACTCCTGGCCAGGGGAAAGCTCCTCTCACCTGTAAAGGGTTAAGAAGCTAAAGGTAACCTCGCTGGTACCTGACCAAAATGACCAATGAGGAGACAAGATACTTTCAAAAGCTGGGAGGAGGGAGAGAAACAAAGGGTCTGTGTCTGTCTATATGCTGGTCTTTACGGGGATAGACCAGGAATGGAGTCTTAGAACTTTTAGTAAGTAATCTAGCTAGGTATGTGTTAGATTATGATTTCTTTAAATGGCTGAGAAAAGAATTGTGCTGAATAGAATAACTATTTCTGTCTGTTTCAGAGTAACAGCCGTGTTAGTCTGTATTCGCAAAAAGAAAAGGAGTATTTGTGGCACCTTAGAGACTAACCAATTTATTTGAGCATGAGCTTTCATGAGCTACAGCTCACTTAAAGTTTTGCCTAGAGGGATTCTCTGTGTTTTTGAATCTAATTACCCTGTAAGATATCTACCATCCTGATTTTACAGGGGGGATTTCTTTATTTCTATTTACTTCTATTTTTATTAAAAGTCTTCTTGTAAGAAACTGAATGCTTTTTCATTGTTCTCAGATCCAAGGGTTTGGGTCTGTGGTCACCTATGCAAATTGGTGAGGCTTTTTATCCAACATTTCCCAGGAGAGGGGGGGTGCAAGTGTTGGGAGGATTGTTCATTGTTCTTAAGATCCAAGGGTCTGGGTCTGTAGTCACCTAGGCAAATTGGTGAGGCTTTTTACCAAACCTTGTCCAGGAAGTGGGGTGCAAGGTTTTGGGAAGTATTTTGGGGGGAAGGACGCGTCCAAACAGCTCTTCCCCAGGAACCAGTATTAGTTTGGTGGTGGTAGCGGCCAGTCCAAGGACAACGGGTGGAATATTTTGTACCTTGGGGAAGTTTTGACCTAAGCTGGTAAAGATCAGCTTAGGAGGTTTTTCATGCAGGTCCCCACATCTGTACCCTAGAGTTCAGCGTGGGGGAGGAAGGTTGACAGTATCGCACGGCTGTTTTAATGAGATGTTACAGGGCAGCTGGTGCTCTGATGCTAGCAGTTAATTTGTGGTGCTCTTGCTTAGGATGGGATTTGCAAAAGTGCGTCGTATTGACATCAAAGCATTGACTTCAATGGGATCAGAGTTAGACCTGTGTGTGAACGCTTTTGAAGGTCCCATCTCTAGGGCTGCGGTCACTACTTGATCCCAAGTGCTGGTGCACGGGAGGTACCTTTTCTTACCTCTCCCCCCCCAACAAAATATCCCCATTAGGCACAAGATTTGCTGCTTGCATTCCACTTGCAATCTTTTTGCACATTCTTTTGAAGATGAGCGGAGGCTGTTACCAGCACTTTCCCCTGACTATCACAAATACAAAGAGCAAGTTGCATCATGAAAACCCTTTGAGATTTTATCTCAAAATGTGTTCAGTGTGGTGGCAAAAATCAGAACAAGAGGGAACAGACATAGCCCAAATGTGTAGATAATAAGACAAAGAATTTTACTTCTTAACCTCTTTCAGGACAATTTAATTTTCCGGGTGAAATCCTGGCTTCATTGAAGTCAATGACAAAATTCCCATTGATTTCAATAGGGCCAAGATTCCACCCTCACTAATTAATACCCAAATTGTCTTCTCTGATTGTGGTGTGCCATAATTAATACAAAGATGTCTTTTCAATCTATTTGAGCATAAGCTTTGGTGAGCTAGAGCTCACTTCATCGGATGCATTCAGTGGAAAATACAGTGGGGAGATTTATATACACAGAGAACATGAAACAATGGGTGTTACCATTCTCTGTGTATATAAATCTCCCCACTATATTTTCCACTGAATGCATCCGATGAAGTGAGCTGTAGCTCACGAAAGCTTATGCTCAAATAAATTGGTTAGTCTCTAAGGTGCCACAAGTACTCCTTTTCTTTTTGCGGATACAGACTAACACGGCTGCTACTCTGAAACTTTTCAATCTATGATTGCCAGTATAATAAGAGCTTGAGCTCTGCTCATGCTTTGAGCTCTGGAGGTCACTGGTTCAGTCCTCAGTGGGTCAGCCATGTTTGTGGGGTCATCACACTACACAATACAAATAATAAGATGGACACTAACATTTTGTTTCTTTGGCCATTTATGTGCACATACTGTCTTAATCTGAGTGAGGTTTATGTTCGAATGTACATTGTGTTCATTTGAAATAGTTCTCTAAAGTTGAGATTGTAATAAATGAGATGAACCGAAAAATGCAACAGTTAAAGCCAGTCACAGGACTCTCTTCATATGAAACATAAATGCAGCAGAAATTCAGATGTGAAAGTTATTACTTGAATTTTTACCAAATAATATCACACACACTGGCAAAAAACATGAAAACCTGGGGTTCTTTCAGTTGGAACAGAGAGGGACAGAATGTTCGGCTTCTATGGGCACATTGACAGAGGAGACAGAAGATCACGATCTGAATACAGTTTTGTACAAGTCTTTCCCAATCACAGTATACAACTCCCAGAACATATTGAATCGGAATCCTCATGGCTAATTCCCATTCCCTATTCGCTCAGTTACTCCTATCACAAGGGTTGCAAAATATCCTTTGGCATGGATACTCTAAATAGCCACAGTTACTTCATCTTCCATCAAGCAGCAATCCTACATGTAGCCATATGAGCCCCATTTCTGTAAACATTGTCCAGTTTCCCAAGCAAAACAGCAATCTCTTAGCAATGAAGCTTTCTGTGCTTTGTCCCCAGACAAAGATACACACATTTCCTCAACTTCCAATCAAGTAACAGCATGTTCCAGTACCATAGTAACGCAGGTGCACTCTGCTCTGCACTTCACCCAAGTTAAATCAGGCAGAGGCTTTACAAAACTATATGCTGTCAACAAGGCAGTGGGTAAACCCCGCAGGTGATTTCTATTGAGAAATTG